CTGGTCAAAAACTCAAGGTTGGCAAGACAACAGGTGGAGGTTGTCGCTCATATCTCGCAGTCTTTGGGGGATTCCCGTCTGTTGCGGAATACTTTGGCTCAAAGTCTACTTCACCGCTCGTAGCGATCGGAGGCTACCAGGGCCGGGCGCTGGCACCAAGCGATCTGTTACAGACAGTGGGAGAGCTTCCAGACGATTTCACTAGCGTTTCACTCCCAGAAACGTTGCGCCCCATCTACAAGTCAACTTGGGAAATAACAGCGATGGTTGGACCTCACGACGAAGGCTACTTCGATCCGAAGTTCATCGAGGAGATATACAAGACTGAGTGGAAGGTATCTCACAACGCATCGCGAAGCGGAATCCGTCTGGTGGGACCGGTACCGAAATGGGCCCGTAAAGATGGTGGTGAAGGAGGAGCGCATCCAAGCAATCTCATCGAGTACGGCTATCCACTGGGCACCTTGAACTGGACTGGAGATGATCCGTGTATCTTTCCCGTGGACTGCCCGAACTTCGGAGGATTCACCAGCTCGACTACAGTTGTTAAAGCCGACTGGTGGAAGCTGGGTCAGCTCAAAGCGGGAAATACTGTGAAGTATGTCCGGGCTGGTCTCGATGATGCGCTGAAGAAGAGAAAGAGAAACGACAGCTTCTTGAACTCGGTTGAGCAAGCCATCAGCGGCGAACGCGACTTCGAAGGCATTGAAAAGATGCAAGGTGCACACTGCAACTTCCATGAGGGAGATATCGGAAAGGCTGTCATTTGGGAGAAAGAGAAGAACAATAGCACACCACAAGTCAGATATCGTCAAGGAGGTGATGATCATATCCTGATCGAATACGGGAATGAGAATTTCGATCTCAATCACCGCTGCCGCGTCACTGCTTTGGAGAACGCATTACACTCAGACTCCACCCCAAAGCTCATCAAGTCCAATCTGTATAACACCGTGGGGTGCTGTACATCGCTTCTCCTCCACTACAACGGTTCCAAGCTCCCTCGATCAGAGCTCATTGCGCACCTTCAGTCCATCGAATCGAATCTCGGCGACCTGAGAAGCACAAAAGTCCCTACCCGCGTTTTCAAGCTTCCTATCTCATTCGAATCGAAACTCCAAGACGAAGCAACTCAACGCTACATGACTAACCAGCGGCCTCACGCACCGTACCTACCCGATAACCTCGCGTTTGTCGCAAAGAACAACGCTTTCACGCCACAGCAGCTGAAGGACATATACCTCACGGGCCAATTCATGGCAGTAGTCGTCGGCTTCTTCTGCGGCAACACTGTCTCGCTGCCCGTAGACCCACGCCAGCGCCTCTCCGCTCCAAAGATGAACCCAAGTCGCGTTTTCACACCCGAAGGCACAGTTGGATGGGCCGGCTCCTGCATGTCGATATATCCCGTTGACTCACCTGGTGGGTACCAGATGACCGGCCGAACGGTACCATGCTGGGACTACTATTCCTACAAACCCGGGTTCGACACTAAGCCTTGGATTTTCCGCGACTTCGACATCTTGACCTTCTACCAGGTCAGTGAGAAGGAGCTCGATGATCTATTAGGCAAATTCCGTGCTGGAAAGTACCAGTGGGAGTACGAAGACGTGGAGTTCGATATGGCGCAGCACAACCAGCTTCTAGAGAAGACGAGCGATGAAGTCAGGAAGATTAGGGAGAAGCAAGCGGTTGCCCAGGAAGAGATGACGAAAGCCGAGAACGAGAGTCTGGAACGCTGGAGGAAGGAGAAGGCTGAGAGTCAGGTTGACGAAGGGACCGTGGAGAAGCTGCTGGATGATCCGGATATTGTTGGGGTTGAGGCGCCGGTCGACGCGAACGTGTGGAAGGTAGAAGTTATCGAGGGCGATGACATTGGAGATGAGAGCGTGGTAAGTACATTCATGTGATTGTTTATCTGGCATTGCTAATATGATATAGATCGTCATTCTTGAAGCAATGAAGCTGGAGATTGCGGTCAAGACGCCAGACACGCTGGCGAAAGCGGGCAAGCTAAAGGTTGAGAAGGTTTTGGTGAAACCAGGAGATACTGTGACAGCTGGAGGACATTTGGCACTGCTACGCAAGAGCTAGCTGGGGAATGTAGTTCATTCACTGTATTTCATGCATCAGAATGACATGCGTGTGAACAATACGTAGCCAGCTTTCCACATTGCCCAGTATCAAGCTCATGTCGTCTCCAATGGACTAGAACTCCAGTTCCTTCAAGTTGAGACCAGTGCCGCAGCTTGTGTTCTTAGTCGGTTTCATATCTGCCCGACCCCAGTCGTAGATTCCGCCACGCTCTACGAAAGACTTCTTGTCCCAGACGATTTGCTGCATGGCCTTCTCAACTCCAACATCCAAGATAGACGCGCTCGTCGTCATCATGCCCTCGCCCTTGTCCATGAAGCGCATGTACTCATCGAGCAACAAGTAGCTGCTGGCCATCGAGTTGTTGTCTTCAGGTACGTAGCATGATAGGTGCTTGTGGCGATCGCAGAACGTGCGCCATTGTTCGTCGGTGACCAGAAACGTCCTTGCATCGCGCTTCCGTGTCTCGTCGTCGTTCTCGCCTGCCACGATGAGGCATTGGAAAACCTTCCATCGGAATGGCGCTAGCTTCTCGATATTGGCAACCATATCTTCGTTCCAGTTGTGTATGTTTACGACGGTATTAAGCTTGAACTTCACGTTGAAGGTCCGGCACCACTCGGCGATTTGGAACAGTCGAGCGACGTTCTTCCCGTCGTCACCACGGCCAATCTTGACGTTCGTCTGCGCGTCGAATGAGTCGCAGGAGATGGCCAGAATGTCCAGCCACTGAGAGTTCTCTCGCATCCATTTCTCCGTGATCTTGCTCCCGTTGCTGACGATGCTGATGCTTTCGACGCTCAAGTCTTCCTTGCAGTAGCGAATCAGGCTTGAGAGAAGCTTGGGGTGTAGGAATGGTTCACCGCCCGCGATATTGAGTTTGCGCATACCCGCATCTCTGAGCAGTCTCAGACCTTCTCGCGCTTTCTCATCGCTTAGGATGTAGGAGCTGGTCTCGGTGTGGAAGCAGAATTTGCATTTGTAGTTGCACTCCCGAGAAGGGAAATAGTTGACTGAGACCGGCGCATCTGGTGGCTTCGATGGATCCAAGGGCTCGTGGACAACCGATGTTTCGACGGCTGACTCTTTGGTAGAGGGCTCTTCAGTGAGTGATACGGGTGTGAGACTTTCGGCGGGCTTGATAGCGGTGGACTTGTAGACAACGTACGCGCAAGTCGCGAGGACAATTCCGACGAAGTACCGAAGAGCGGGTACTTCAGCGACAAGTGAGAGGAGCACCATCGTGAACGGTATTTCCAGAGACGACGTGGATGATAAGTGATAGTCGCTGCAAGAGAACTAAGGTCTTCAGAAACAAGAGGAAGTTGGTGCGGGATGCGTCAACTTCTATACAGGCAGTGGTGGTTCGGCCTAATAGAGGAGGTTCCGAGCCTAGGAAATGCGGGTCTTGAACAGCAAGAAATCGCTTTCGATCACAACTCCCTTGATATACTGAGTGGGGGCGCTTGCTACAAACGGCAATCAAGGCTAACAATCAGTGGAACGCCCCGGAAGCACATACCAAGCGCCTTCCACAATCTTACTGTGCCCCACCGCGACACTCCCTACCTCGGATGGGAAGTACAGTTCTTCTAGTCGCATTACCAGCAGCTATCGGTACCATGGCAGCCTCAGATCAGACCAAGGAATCCCCTCGCGGCTTTGCTATCGCGTTCGTACTAGGTATACTGCTCAGCTTCGCTTTCAGACTTCAAAGTAACCCATGACTAGGCGCACCTGGTGCGGGGAAGGGAACACTGTGTACGCGTCTAGCTCGAGACCACAACCTGGTACACTACTCTGTCGGTGACAGTCTGCGGAGCTGGATGCGTGAAAATGTCAACGCGCCACTCGCAGTCATTATCCAGGACAAACTTGACAACCAGGGGTTCTTGACTTCGGAAGAATTGAACCCTTTCATTGCGCGCGCAATCAAAGATGCATTGTCCCAACAACCACCCAAGGCCGGCATCCTGGTGGATGGATTCCCACGAAGCACCGAGCAACTAGAATCATGGAACGTCTGGCCATTTCCCAAAGATCTGCCAATCGCAAGCGGAAGTAACACCAATGCAAAACCAGACATCGTATTATCGTTACGCGTCAGCAAACAAAACGCCAAAGCCAGATACTCGGCTCGAGCCCGGGATAGCAACGATAGCGATGAGAAATTCGAGCGGCGCTTCTCTGAATATGAGGAAGAAACTTTGCCCGTGGAGGAAGTTTATCGCGAGCGCGGCATTTTGATCGATGTGAGTATGTAAAACGTTACGAAAGATCCAACATTAAATTACATCCAGATCGACGTGAATGGTTCGAAGGAAGAGAACATTATAGAGATGACCAATAGCCTTAATGGAAGTAGTCTCTGGCGGAGAGTTATGGTCGAGAGATGTATGGACACGCATTTTATCGTTACGTAGCCATGTACTTCGTAACTCGTCGGCAAAGTAATAGGTCGCATGTAGTTGGACGCCACTAACTTCTGCCAGTCCATGGCATGCCACGGCAACCGACCTTATCCCATGGATCTTGCGAATATTTCCCTTCTCTGTGCATTGTTTCGTGATGCGTGTTACAGAGACGTGCCCGCTGTCCTGGTGGACCAAAGCTTTCCTTAGTCCCTTCATGGCCCAACATATTCTGCCCCAGCGACGTATGATACAAGCATCGCCGAAAGGTATAATGATTTCATAAGACGAGAGCATCCAGATATCTCTCACATTAGGACTGGGGAGTGAGAGGCAATTCTCGGGACCTGGAATGAACGATTTCGATGTCTCCTTGACCCCGGGCTTGAGTCTGTCGTATATTCTCCGCGGCGGAACTAGAGGACATCTGAGGGGTCTATTAGGATGATGGAAATGAAAGACGGGATTTGCTCGCAGTCGCAACTAGCCAGGAGGTCATATTCTTACGTCGCCTTGTTGAAGTTTGTCGGACCAGTCTGGTCTATACTTCGTTTTCATGTGTTGCATGAGATCGACTAGGGAGGCTGAGAGGGCAGCGGAGCTTGGCCACCTCCAGGAAGAGAGCTCGAGAACGAGGAGCGCGTTGGAGTACAACTGGATAAGGTTCCCGCCAAAGATTGCCGGCATGTTCTGTATGAGCACTGTGCCTGCTCGGTATACCCAATGTGGCGTGACGAAGACATGGATGCCGCCGAAACTCACTACAGCCTCTCTGTTTGTGATGGTTAGTATGACATCCTTCAAGGCATGCGGATATTACGTACAGCACATGCCATGCACTCCCCCAACAAGGATTCAGCAACAAGTGTGTTATGTGTAAGGTAATGCGTATGACAGGGAGCAGCTCGTCTCTCTCGTCAAAGAGCGGTAACAGCTTCTTGACGTTCTCCTTGGCGATGTGGTCGCCTTTGCGGAAGCGATTTTGCATGCGATATAATGAGCAGAGGTATTCCGCGGGCTTCTCTTTGTCAAAACACATTTCTTCATCCTGCGATAGATGAGCCATGATCTTCAGAAGGCTGCGCAGCTGATAGACTCACCGGCTCCGGAAACAATGCAGGTCTATCCAGTGTAGATGCAATCTGGTTCTCAAGGCAGAATATGGTCATGTGCATGGCTCGCAGTAGTTGGACATCGTCGGGATCAAGCTCTTGTAACGCTCTTTTTGACTCAAGGTCGAATGCAAGACGGCCTGCGAGAGCTATTTGCTGGCCAATGTTGCCAGCTATTGGGTCAAATGAGCTGTTGATAGCGAGTAGTAGAACCGACCGGATGGTGTCGATGTTTGGCTCCATCGTTGCTAACTCGAGGTGTTCCATAGCATCTGCAAAGTACTGAGTGGCGAGAGCCCGGTATCTAATGGAATTGGCCTGGTGGTACGTGAGCCTGCCCCGAGGGTTCCAGCAAGTATCAGGAGGTTGCTTTTTGCGAGTGTTAGGAAGGATGTAGCATGCTATGGAATATATCATATACAACGAGAACTTCTCGGTGTCCGTTAGGTCACCAGGTACGTCAGGTCCGAGATAACGGAGCGATGAATCCAGGATTGGATATATAGGTTGCACAGTTTCGAGATAGAGTTGCACCAGCTCATACTGCTTCTCGGGCGAATCTTTGTTGCTGTAGTGCCAGTCGTCAAGCTCTTCGTCAGTCTGCACGGCACGATTTTCGTGCGCAGTGTGTAGTCTGGGGGATTTGAGAAGACAGGATTCGGCGCCAAGGTATCGATAACTGTTTCCCGCCTCGGCGAAGTGATGTTCGTATCGAGGAACTTCAGAAGCGATGAATTCTGTTTTGACGTGTGTCGCAAAGGCGCCATTGTCCGTGAGCCCGCCGGATGTTGCTGGCGACCCATGGCCACTGGACAAATTGCGCACACGATCTACTAGCTCGCTGATGTAGCTGGGCATGTCTTAGTACGAGTTCGAGGACAAGTCTCGTCTGCTTACCTTCGCGGTAGCAGCTGATTGCGCCCGTGGTCGTAGAACATGCATTCGACGCCGGCTTTGGTGCATTGCCTGACAACGTTAGCAGGACGCGCAGGGTGGGACAGAGAAGCCATGTACCTGCACTTGGGCAATAAGGTATCGCATCCGCGGCGACACTCTCGGCATCGCTTGCATGCGGGGAGACTCTGGGGAAGTGTAAGTGCACGATGGCGAATTGCGGAGACGGCGGCGTTACCTGAATCAGAGCATCTAGATCGAGCGTGGGGGGCTTCGAGGTCGCGGCGGCCATCGGAGTGGGCAGTTTGCAAGGAGGCGACGGGTACGGGTCAAGGTCTAGCAGAGCTGTCGTCTGTACTACGATCCATCGCGCGCCGTCGTCATGTCAGCGACAATGGTCGGAGACGCGATGGGAGGCCTGGGCGGAGTGGATGGCGAGCAGGACGATCTTATCTGGCTAGGGCGTCCCAACACAGAAGCGATCACCCCGGCCGCCTGCATCCCGCGTGCCCACAGTCCGCCCACATGCCAGCATCCCGTCCTTCGTTCGAGAACACCAGCCATCGGGAATCATCACCGCCAGCAAGTCCTTCATCTCCGCCATGACAGCGGCGCCATCGTGGTACAGACGCCAGACGCTCGAGGTTGGCCATGCAGAACCGCACCAAAGTCCGTCGTCGCGTGCTGGCCTGTGCTCGCTGTCGGAAGCGTAAACTCTCGGTAGACGCTTTCCTCTGCCCCCGTCATACATGTACTGACTCCATCAAGTGTGATGGCAAGGTTCCCGCCTGCACGCGTTGCGTAGATGCTAGCGTCCAGTGTGTGGGTTTCGATTCTTCAACCCAGCAAGAAGCTCCGCGCTCTATTGCCGACTTTCTGGAAGCGCACATCGCGCGGCTCGAGGGCCAAAGCAGCACGCCCTCGACGCTGCCATCTCTAGGACAGTCAAGTGCTACTCTGTCATCTCCAGCAGATTCTCACGCATCTGACTCGAGGCCGGGGAATTGGCGTCCAGAGAAATGTGCCTTCGCCGACAGCCTCGTCAACCAGGTCATGCAAGACATCACGACTTCTTTCCTTGGTGTGTGCAAAGCTCGGCCCTTCCTACAGTGCGTCATCAGAGGCACGAGGCTGCCTTCGAAAAAGGGACCTGTTCTTTCCAACGATCTGAACGAGAACCACCCCAGATCCATCTTGAACCCTCAGCAGACCAAGGGGCTGTTCTATGACCTCATGCCTGACGAGGTTGGCGCCAACAAACTACTTCAAAACTACCTAGATCGCGTCATCACACAATACCCCATCTACCATCGAAACGACGTGACAACTGCTTTCAACTCCATCTATCACAAGAAAGCAGCAACGCCAAATGAAGACTCATTCCGAAATCGATACATAGTCTGCATCATCATGGCCATCTCGCTAACAACAAGCGCACGGAATAATGTGCAGAAGGCAAACGACCTTGCCTATCAGCTAGTTCGACACGCTATGCAATGGATTCCAGAGGTTGCAACCAACGATATTGCTGGACTACAAGCTATACTGCTATTAACCCAATACATCTTCCTGAATCCTAAAATGGCCGATCTATGGCTCATGACAGGTCTCATCAGCCAAGCAGTCATTGACCTCGGATTGCACCAAGAGCTTCCCAATGATGCTAAAGTCTCCGTTTACCAACGCGACATGCGACGACGTATATTTTGGTGTGCATGGGAGATGGAAGTTGGCGTCTGCTGCATATTTCTACGCCCTACAAGTCTTCCGGTTGGGCGCATAGATGTTCATTTTCCCATGGAGATTGACGACACCGCCATTACGCAGTCTAGCATATCACCGACTGGACGACTATCGAAATTCACGCAGCGTATCATTTGTCGCTTTCGCCTTATCGAAGCTGACGTCATATCCGTCTTGTGGCATGAAGACCCTATATCTCAAGAGTGCTCCTCGTTGGAGGAGTGGGTACAACACACTATCAATGCCATGTCAGATTGGCAACGCGAGATATATGCAGCTTCAGAGGCCAACAAAGATCGTAGCTTGAATGCACGATGGACTGAGATGCGCTTGTACTCCGACATCGCAACCCCTTACATCTTGTCCTTGTTGCATCGCACGTCTCGACGACTGCCGAACCCAAGTAAAGAGCAAATGATGATCGCTCTGCTCAATGCCGTCAAGGTTGCTGACGGCTACTTCCAGCAATCTGAGGCAGAAGCGGGAAAGATCAAATACGTCTTCCATCCATGCCATCATGTCTTCAATTGTGCGCTCATATTCTTGCAAGGTTTGCAGCGCTGTCCGAAAGAAGTTGCGGACCAATACTCATGGCAACAAGTTGAAGAATGGATGCACGTCTTTTCGAAATGCTTCTTGTCCATCTCAGAGCGATGGGCAGCCGCGAAAAGGTGTTTCGAAGAGTACGAGCGACTACTCCTTCCGGTAAAGAAGGAATACCTCGAATTCCTGAATCAGAGGGCGAGCTATTGTCCGCCAACACTCCAACAAACGGTCTCTGATGCGAGCAATCTCTACGACTACCAAGTGCCGCCCTCTATACTTACAGAGATCGACGAGGCTTACCAGTTCTGGACAGTCTTCAACCCCACCTCAGCGATCGATGCACCAGACCCACTGGGTGCGTACTCTTACAATCTCGCGCCTTCCGATTGGAATGCGGAGTTCTCCTTGAATGATAATATGGACATGACACCGGAGTTATAGTACTCTTTGGCGTTTCTCGATCACGTTTCTTCTCTCATCGGCATTAACGTCTTTCAACTTGATGACATTACAGCACTGTACTGATTTACTTAGCTAGCATGTGGAATCGTTGCGCATTTTCGGTTTGGACTAATGAAATACCCTTGGGTCGCGGGTTTACATCTCTTCAGTGGTACTTTGTTGCTCTACACTTCCGCTGAGTATCAAGCTTGATAACACTTTGACTGGATTTTAACATGTGTGAATATGCGTGCACCCAAACGTCACTGGAGACGTCTTGGGCGCACAGTTGATAATCATGAGGTTACATTCGCCAAAGCCTGCCGTGGCTTATTTCCGCGTACCCATATGCGGGGCACGCGGCACGGGAGTCGCCCGGTCACGTCCAGCGTCTACCAATGTGTCGGGTGGATTCGACGGCGCCGAGAGTGCTGCACTGCCAACACAGAGCGCATTGAGCCCCCACGCTGCGGTGGGGAAGGACGGACCATTTACCCGCAGAGTATCAGCATATTCGTTCACGAACGAGAACTGCCTTACATACATACCGGCTATATGGTCACAAGACATCTTCACATGAGAGGTAAGTTGGAAACGTAGTCAACTACATCAGTGTCGCGTGTGACGAGTTTCGACAACCATGTTGATCTCCTGACACGTAGTGCAGTGGCACAGGCAGTTCATGCGAGCGTACACACATCCAACGTGTCCTAGTTATGGGCTTCTATCCATTTGACTGTCGGCATCCCTGTGGAAGTGTAAGAGATTGAAATCTAGTTCAAATAAAGACGAGTATGCAGTACATCTGCCCTATAGCTCTAGACTCAGAGTTTCTTCTGGTTGTGTTGGTCTTCCCATCTTCAGCACTGCTTTCTTGCTTTTCAAGTCCATAACAATGTTGAACAGGGTACCACTTCCAGTCTCCTCGGTCTCAAACCTACATATCGCACCCGGCGCATTCTGCTGGTCGGCAAACAATTGAGTCACGTCTTCCCAGCTTGGGTCGTCGCCCAGCGCTCCAACGTTCGTTGCCATTGTTTGAACCCTAGTGACGGAGTCCTTGAGCCACACAGTATCGACTTCGCCAGGGTGCTCCAGCAGCAGATGGTTCGTGTGAATGATTCTTGAGCTAGAGTCTGGTAGCACGTGCGCAAAAGTGCTCTTCGTGAATTCTAAGCCCAGGGACGTGTTTGCATCAGCTATGAGGATATGGGCTGAGGATGCCATGCCGAAACTCTCCAGCTTGCGTACTGCTTCGTCGACTGACGTGCTCTCCAGTGCCATTCTCAACCCAAAGTGAGCGGGCATTCGAGTAGAATCAACGCCGTGAACTTTTATGGCGTTGAACAACGTCCCTACACCGCTGCTGTTGAAGCCGATTTTTCCGATTATGCCTGCCTCAGTTACTTGGATTATAGTGGGCTTGTTCGCTTGTGTGATCTTGGTAACGATCAGGTTCTCTTGCTGCTCGGTCATCCACTGGGCACCGTCAGCATACGATCATCGCTTTCGTGTTTTTCTAGAGGTGCTGCATACATCCCAGTTCTGCGCCAACCATGCCCGGTTCTGGTTGTGCCACGCGAGGGCAGTGCAGCCATCGCTGAACAGGCCAAAGTTGATCTCAGTTCGGACGTTTATCGCTACGATGTCTAGCAACTCGCGTCCGGAGCCGTCGGCAATGCCTTGCATCTCTTCGTGGAAGTTTGGCCATTGCGCCTTTGCTCGCTGTTCAAACTTCGAAGCGTGCTGGAGGACCTGCGGCCATCTCTTCTTGCAGTTCTTCAGGAAGAGACACGCGTAGAACTCGATGCAACGCGCAATCTGTAGTTTTGCGGCTTGACCGTGTTGGTAGCCAATCTGTGTGAGATCAGCATGCTCCTGGTAGCTGTCGCGTTTCGTCGCGGTGGCAGTAATGACGTCACGCGTCACACTTACCTCATAGGGGGTGCCCTTGCACTCGACAAACAGCATCGTGTACGACAACCCGACAAATATCAGACGAGAAGATGTACAAGAAGCAGTCTAGACTTCTATTCGAAGGAACAAGTTGCTAAAGTCTATCTGTCGGCGGCAGCGCTTTCGGCAATCCCACGCACATGCCCCGCCTTCGACGTGCGCTCAATTCCGTCTCGAGCTACGCCACGCGCTCCTTCGTCTCTCATTCGCCGTGAAGGTGCAGCATGAGTAATTCTCTGCGAACTGCACTGCATGAGCACAAATGCAGTCTATAGACCACTGCAAGCTAATCCACCGGCGTTGAAACCCTGTTACTACCTGCTTGATTAGTGCTTCGGAGTATATCAGCGACGGGCGGTGAACCACTCCCTTGGTAGAGGAACAGCCGCGGACGGAGATGGCAAGTACAACTGTGCCGCGGACTATGGCGTCTGAAAGGGCAGGGAGTTGGCGATAAGAGGGCATTGCATCTCGCCTGCACTCTATTGCTTCCCTCAGCGTTGCTTCATAGCCAACGACTTTGTTGCCTTCAATTTTGCCTCAGGAATCATGCCAAAACGCGTGCTGTGTGCTTATGGTATTGACATCGACGCAGTAAGTAACAGA